ACGGATGGTAGATTAAAATACTGTATCGATGTCAAATGTCAAGTTTACTGAAATGCGTAACATTGCTGTGGTCACTGTCAGGAAAGAAGCCCAGTCTTAGAAAACAGTGGGGAGTTACAAGCTTCCAAAGACGAGATCCCAGCAAGCGGCAGGTCAGCTGGCCACAACAGTATGGATGACAGTAAACAATGTGACCCAATGGGCCAGAGGAAGCAGTTTATTACCAACAGCTCAGCAAAACAGCAGACACTTCAGCACAGGGCGCTGGCTCCCTGGCCCACATGCCCCGTGGTGCGACACAATGGGCTCAGGTGGCTGCTGTGCACACAGTGGCTCGCACTAAAGCTGAAGAGCCCGGAGCCAAGGGCTCAGTACCTTTGCAGCAATCAGTAGACAAACCTATCCTTCTCCCCTGAGAGCAGGGGCAGCCAATCACAAAGTGGTCATGCTGTGGTCCTCATGTGGTCTGGCAGAAAAGGTTCTTAATTGACTGTGTGACTATAGAAATGACTCAGAGTCAAAAGATATTTACGCCTTGCATTTCAGCTCAGTAGGCAAGCATGTGCAGGGATGCGTGGTGGACTGCCTCTCCCAATAATTCACCTGTCGGCTGGACATATTCTTGGCTGAATTCAATTTTCATATATTTATATCATCCCATTAGCAATTTGGGTTAAACACACTGACAAGGGCTAGGACCAAATCCGTTCCATTTATTTCAAACAATACTTGATTAGGGTTATTATTCACAGAATCCCCATCCGCAGGATCAGATCAGATCGGCAGTGTTGACCTCAGCCATGCACTTCAGGATCCTAGACTCAAATGAGTTAGTCCCAGAGAGGACCAGTCGGTCTAAGCTCAGATAGCCATTGAGCTTCCTCTTTTATGGTATGCATGGACTGTGCCACCATACCGTTGGTATTAATTAGAACCCAACAGGAGTGGTTGGCAACCACACCAACCAGAAAGTAGTCCAAGGCCAATCGATGGATCCACGTATGAGCAGGGAGTTCAGCCTGAGCGATGGATCTCCTATGGCTTGTTCTGTCTCATTGGCTATGGTAGCTCAAGTAAAAGATAGGTTCGTGACCTGTCTCTCAAATGTGGACTCAGATGCCAGGGAACAACACTCACACTGCCGTATGGGGACAAGAATCCGTGTATCCCTCAGGTAGAACAGCACTCTTTTACTTGGAGGCCTAGCAAAAGGAACGTGACCCAAGGAGTGGTGTTGCAGCCAATCATTGCAGGGTGGCAATCATGCATCAAACTGCTCAGCCTTGCGCGATAGAGAGATGACCTGTGGCCCACTCTTCCCCACGTGAAACCATGTAACTGAAGGGGACAGGTTCGATTTGGGATTTGTGGAGAAGTTTAATTTGGATGACTACTACATTAACTTGGGTATTCCACATGGGCACTGCCACCAAATAGCTTTTGCCTTGAAAGCCTCCATGGTATAACCCCAGGGCACTCAGGTGTTAGGAAAAGCATAGGAACCGGTATGAGCCTGACTGTGCTTATCCACGTACAAGGGACTTCACATTTAGGAGCCGCCTTTGATAATATCAGGCACGTAGAGTAACTCAGGGCCAGCCAAGCCCACATGGAATTTCTGATCCTGTGCACATCGGCTGAAGTGATAAGCCCTGAAGCAGGTCAGGTTGGCAGTCAGAGCTGCTGCTCGTCTCAGTGGAGCATGTCATTATTTTACCAGGCTGCAGGACTGGAGTTTAGAGAAAAAGATAAGAGTCCATCATTTCCCCCTCCAGTACCTCCAAGGTCTAAAGTGGTTATTGGTGCCAGGGAGGCACCAATAGTTCTCCTTCCAAATTTGGCAGATTTTCTAATTAGCTTATTTGCAGCCTCAACAAAATGCATGCATAGATAAGGCACATATTACCTCAATGCCTGAATATCGCAATGAAGTGCCAGGCTTCCTTTCTGGTAGTGGGGATCCATCGCACAGGAAATATTTTCCTTACGGTCATTAGGATCCACTTTTAAGTGGTTACTCACGTTCCTCCCAAAATTTTGAGTTGGGTGGTTAGTCCCTGAATCTTATCAGAATTAATGACCAATCATGGGCCTTCGCGTGAGTTAGCATCTGCTAATTTCATTGGGGCTTATTGACATAAAATCATCATCGTAGTAGGACCAAGTCACTTGCAAGAAGAGAGGGGCTAGTTCTGGGTTCTGACCTACTCATTGGTGGCCAATCACAGGAGAAACTAAGTATTGCTGTGGCTGCACAGTAAGCATGTTTAGGAAGCTGAGTCAGGGTAAGGATCTTGATTTTCAAGTGCCAAAGGAATTGAGAAAAAAGACATGACCCAAGTCCAAGATGGCATTCCAGGTGCCATCGCGGGCAACTGAGTCAGTTACAGTCACAATGTCTGGAACAGCCAGAACTGAAGAAGCAAAAACTGAATTCTGTTGGCAATGATCCTCCATCAGTCGCCAGACCCTGAGAGCTTTATTCATTGGCCACACAAGGCTATTCTACCAGAAGGGAACCTGAAGCTGAATTATCATCTGTTGTGTCTGTGTCCCACCCTCACCTCTCTATAAGTAGCTCTTCCAGACTGGGCATGACTCCGATGGACATTATGAGCATTCACAGAACAAGCATGGAAATTACCAATACCAATTACATGGCCTTGGGAGCAGCAGAAGTGGTCATAACAGCCCCACTCAAATGTCACAGTCACTGCCTTCCCTAATTGACTCTGTTTCAAAGATGGCTAGTAAATGAGTGGTCCTCAACCCTCAAGAGAGCCTGGTACATTCGTCATCTGAGCACAGATATCAAAAAGACAAAGAAGTTTATGCTTGCCCACTCTTATCTTTCTCCCCTTCTCCATTTTGCCCTTCTTAAGGGGTAAGACCCTCTGAGATCTCTTGAGAATGAAGACACCTTAAAGCAGGGGTCCTCAAACTATGGCCCGTGGGCCACATGCAAATACAAATATTGTATTTGTTCCTGTTTTGTTTTTTGTACTTCAAAATAAGATATGTGCAGTGTGCATAGGAATTTGTTCATAGTTTTTTTTTAAAAAAAACTATAGTCCAGCCCTCCAACTGTCTGAGGGACAGTGAACTGGCCCCCTGTTTAAAAAGTTTGAGGACCCCTGCCTTAAAGGCTTCCCAATGCAGGACTGAGGTTCTGAGGGAGCCATTTGTTCTAAGGCAGCCACCTGGCTTTCTGGTTCCTGCATGAGAGAGAGTGACTCCACAGAGGCATCTGCATCTACAGAAGCATGCAGAGCTTGATCTGCCTGAACGACTAACTGCCTCCTTGGAGCCCAACAGAGCCTCATATCTGAGCTGCAAGTCTTTGCTGCTCATCGCCTCAGTCTCTACTTTGGGAACCTTGGTTTTACTAGGCATATCCACAAAGCCTTGTGCTTTTCTGTCCTGGGCTTTGTCTTGGATTCCAGAGTCCCGGTTTAGGAAGTACTATCCTGGACATCTATGGCCTTAAACCAACACAGCTTCCAGCACAGGGCCTCACAGCGAGAAAGATAGTGAAGTGGGACACCCTGGGGGGTAGGGGGCAGTCTTAAAAAGATCATCAGTCATTTTCTAGATAAGAATCATGATCAGGCTGTCATTCCATCTAGGATCGATGCAGTGTAGAGCAACTTCAGCCCTCAGACTCTGAACAGCTTCTTCCATGGAATTTCATGGGATTTTACTATCCTCAAGAAAGTCTCTTTAGTTTAGCCATCATGGAGTCATACAGTGGCAAACCTCATGTGAAGAATGATGCTGTCCCAATTAAATACTGTGCACAGTGGCTTAAATCATGGGGGCTAATGTCAAACAACCTAGGTGCTTCCTTCACCCCCTAAGAGCATAACGTTCCTCACTCCTCTATCAGCACTGTGTCTGTCAGTTCCTCAGTCTATTGATCAAAACACCCTGGGCTTTCTTCCTTTCCCTCTCACTGTGGGGCTGCACCTCTCTACCCACTGGAGGGGCATATTGTCCTCTAGATGTTCTCAGTTTTGACTTGAGACAGGGTGCAACTGTACTTTCCTTGCTGGTGAGTCCCAGAGTGCTCTCTTAGACCCCTAGTCCATGGGAGAGCAAGCAGCAACCAGACATCATTTGGGCAGCTGGTTAGAGCTTATCCTTCAGCCTCTATCCATCAACTCAATTTGTGTTTATCAGCAACTAGGACAGAGGTGGGCCCCTCACTCCTCTCTCTGCACCCTTGGGCCAGCAGAAGGTTTCTCATGGTAGTACCTTCCCTGCCCACACTCCCACAGGATGATGCAGTGGAACCTCATGGTGGCTGCAGACACAGAGGGTTGTGTAGAGCTCAGCTCTTCTGCAGCAAGCAGCAAACAAACCTCCCTGAGACTCAGCAGTCACACATGGGTCAATGCTGTGGTCACCTCGACCTACTTCATTACTTATGTGACAATTTACAGAAACTGTGCCCCGTCAGAGGACAGGGAGGCTAGCTTCACAAGAGTAGTGGGGGTGGGGAAATCCCAGAACTTCAAACCAATTTCTTCAGAAAAAAGATCCATTAATTTTGAGAATTGAGGAGAAAATAAAAATGCCTTTGTCCAGAGATAAAAACAAAACATGCTGCAATTTTCTTTTGAAATTTTGATCAAATCATGAATAGTGTGAGGATAAGGAGAGAAAAAGAGGGTCAAGGACGGGGGTGGGGGGAGAGTTTGCATTAAAATATATATTTTAAGAGAAGCCATCAAAAATATATCTTTGATGATTAGTATATAGTTCTTACTCATTAGTGTATACAAATACAATAGCATATTCATAATGACCCAAGAGATTATGAATAATGACCCAAGAGATTATATAATATTGTGACATTTAAGAGAAACTCTGAGAGTTGCAGGAGAAAGTATACACAAAGACTCCCAATACAGTTCCGACACACAGAAGATGCCCAGTAACTGTGTGCCATAACCCAATCTGAAATGCTCACCGTCTTTGTTTCTTTTCTCTTCTTCTAGCTGGAAAATCTGGAAGTAGAAACTGCTCCATTGCCCTAACTGGGTCTTCCTGTCATTGAGACCCTCACTGAGCTTAATGCCACCATCTTATGTGGAAGCAGGTCACTGCCCGAGTGTGTGGGAAGCTTTCATGTTCTAGGAATGTGTCTGCTCTGAGTCATCAAAACTTACTCCTCTCTGGTCACTTCACTCTGCATCATTAGAGAGACATCCCAACTAAGGCAAGCACTGGGAAGGAAAGAACGACTAATGCGTCCAGCCTGTGTACATAATCACAAGGAGATGCCCAATGGGACCATAACAGGCTACCGTCTGTAAATTCAGGTCGTCATGGAAGATGAACTTTCCGTAGGTAATATTTTTTTCAAGCAAATATTTATGGCCTCATCCAAGAAAAACCACAGATTGCTTAATTCACCATAGTAACACGTGACGTAAATGCTACCTCTGATCAAAGCACCTTGTGTGGACATCCAAGACTTTCTGGTCTTCTGTAAGATAATACTTTGCTTTGTTTTTGACCTTTAATGTTAACCTTAAAAGTATCTTCTGGATAAGACTTCATTTCTACCTTTGTTTCTTGGTTCTATATTTTAAAGAAAAACATCTCCATTATTGCCAGGGAAGAGATTAACATGAAAGGCAATCTGAAACCCAGGAATGTGTCAGCTGCAGAAAGGTTGGTTCTTGTGCATTGCAAGTGCTTCCTAAGCGTTCAAAAGGGAAGAGGGGTCAATAAACTCATCATTTTATTATGCAGGAAGTCAAGCATTACCATGTACTCTTCATTTCTCAGTAGTTTCTCCACACAGCGTGCTCCTTTTACATATAATTTTCTTTTGTTAACGCTGCTCAGAATACTTGTGCTTTTTGAATCAGAGTGATAAATTGACAGATGTTTTTGTTGACTTTCAGAACAGCTTAAAATTTTCTAAAAATATGGATTCAATAAGCTTAATCTCAAAACAGATAGACTCATATGACCATAGAGAAAAAATAGATCATCTATTTTTCAATCCTGTATTGTTACTTGGACATGAAATATTAACAATGACCCAAGAATACTTTCCTGAAGGTTGTGTTTATGTAATGTCTACACCGATATGTTGGGCTTTCTGATCTTTGCTAAATGCCACGATTTTCTTTGTAAAATGTCAGTCTTCTGAGTAGTTTCTCTAAGACAACTCTCTTTGGCTGGTATGAAACACCGCAGAGATTTGGCAATCACTCATTTTGTTTGATCTATATAGACCTTCAAGTCAGGTGGCCCATGCCAGAAAGCTCTCCACTATGAATCTTTGTCTGCGTTTACTAAAGGAATCAAGTAGATTGGAGTTATCCATGAAGACACAAGTTGAAAACTAGGTGTCCACTTCCCTGATAAGAGCATTCCTGAGTCTACAAGCTGCCAGTAGCACCAGCTTTAAAATTGCATCTGCCTTCAATCTCACAAGGCACAAATATGCACCAGACATCCAAAGTGGGTGTCTCAGGAAGACAGCTGTCATGGATCAGAATAACTGTATTCACTGTCTCAGATCGGATAGGCTGTAATTATGTGGACCCAACCCAAGTATCAACTGGACGAAGAAAAAACAAAAGCCAAGATAAGTGTTTTAATGTTTCCTTCTAATGAAGTCTTATATTTGCCTCTAATAACCTCCATTTCTCAAATATTATGTCCCGGGATGTATATATGCATTATTTTTTTTAATTTTTCACATTTTCTGATCAAAGTAAAACTAGGGCCTTAAAATAATTTAGAATGTTAAATAGATGTATGTGTGTGTATATATTTATGTATATGTACTACTAGGGCTTCCACGAGTAAAAGGAATAATTCAAATGAAACACAATAAGGGGAAATGTAATATTCGTATATGAGTCACTGGGGAGGAAAATTCATTTTTAATGACCTATAATAGCGCGAGCTCTCTCAAAGGATGCTATCGCACTGCTTTCTGCTCACAAGGTTGTTTCTCAACGATCACTAGCTCAGCCTAATGACCAGCTCTCAAATTAAAAGCAAATAAGTATGTTTCAATCAAAACCACTTTTATCATAAATTTGCTAAAACTACCTTGCAATTCCCTGGCAAACAGGGAAGTAGCAGCCTTGACTCAGTCAGATGGGCTCAAGTTTCTTACGAAATGTGAAAGCGAAGGAAACGCATTGCTCTGCTTTGTCCTTCTAGATGGGATTCCTTCCTAGTTTGGTGGCACAGCAATGCAGATTGTAGATGTGAAGTGGAAGTTGTGCTTCTTCATCTATTTACTTGCTGTGGATATTTTTTTTAATTGATTTCAGAGAGGAAAGGAGAAGGAAAGAGAGAGAGAAACATCAATGATGAGAGAGAATCATCCATTGGCCACCTCCTGCATGTCCCACACTGGGGATCAAGCCCGCAACCTTGGCATGTGCCCTGACTGGGAATCAAACCATGATTTCCTGGCTTATAGATCAATGCTCAACCACTGAACCATGCTGGCTGGACTCTCATTTTGTTTTAAACCTTTATTTGTGACAGTCTTGATCCATATTAACAATTTGATGATGTTAAATAAAAGTTTGTGAAGAAGCTAAAAGTTTAAGCTTCAAAGTCATCTGCATCCATGTCCAAGCACACGTTGTGGCATTTTTTGGCTTTGTGACTTTGAGCAACATATGTAAGCTCTGTTGGATCCAGTATCCTCTTAAAAATAGGGCCAATAATAGCAAAACTATTGGGCTGTGGTCAGGACCAAGTGAGATAATGAATATAACAAGCTTGGCCTACTATCTAGCAAATGCTCTGTATTTACAGTGAAAATTAGAAATGAAAACTACCAATGTCAAAAAATAGAGATAAACTCGGTGAATTCTCATGGGAACCACCACTCCGATTACCTGAGCGTGACCCGCCTCTGGAGAAGATAGGAAATGCCTCCAATACAAACTCCATCTGTGACAGAATGGCCTTCCGACAGTGCCATCAAAAGAAGTCGGGCTCTTAATTTGGCCGTTGGAAACACTTCTCAACATTGAAATAGACAGTTGGCAGCTTTAAAATAAACTCTTCCAAAAATTAGGTTTGCGTTGGTAACACGGTATTCACTTCCTTAGATAATATGACATGTATTGCTAAAACTGACATCCATTCACTTGCAAATTTCATCATTGAAAAGGCACACTTAGTTCATTTAATATCACCTAAAAAGATGCTAACAGAATTCTCTTTTCAGTGTTCTCACAGTGTGCCCTTTTCATCTCAGGATCCAGGGAAAAGTTAAAATTTAGAAGCACAGCACAAAGGCTCGTCAAGATAAGTAACTGAGACACAAAGAAAAGATCCTTTCTGACCCCATTGGTCCCAAAGTCCCAAAGCATTTAAAGCCCTTAAGTCAAGTATGTTTATTTGTTCAAAAGCAAAACCCTTCCCATATGCTTGGGTTAAATGTTTCATTCAAAACGTGTTGTTCCTCCTATAACGAAGGTGAACAATTTGTACAGACATTCCCAGTCTGCCAGCAATCACCAAGATGAGGTGGCCCATGAGCAATTCTTCCGGCCTCCGCCGTAAATACTGCAGAAGCTGCTTTTACCCCTTGGGGTTTCCCAAGCTTTTCAGCCTTCTCTCCAAACGAACTGCGGATAGACCTTGGTAGTCTCAGCTTCTCTACTGGCCACACAGGCTCCTGTTTCTATGCAGCCAAAAGCACGGCCCCCTTCCGGGAAACAGCCGATAGTTTTGGGTGTCTAAGGAATTCTTACTGCCATTGTAGACACATCAAGATCCTTAACAAAGATTCTCCACATCATTTTTTTTTTCTGAAGGACATACTGCTTGGGTTAGGAGAAGTAGGAAGAAATGTGGACCTACCTGGGTACCTTGCCCTTACCATTGTTTTTTCTCTGTGTAAGATACTTTAGGATTCATAGTCACAGAATATGGCATCCAGATTATATTTAAGACCATTGTTATTAGGACTTTAGGACCTAACCTGATGAGTCAAAGAGTTGAACTTTGGGATATCCATCCAAGAGCCAGTTGAATTTAATTAGAAATAATTTCAACTCACAGTCATTGTTTTCCAGTTATGTACATTACTGACTGTTTAAGAATTAAGCAAAACCAAATACCTAGTGGGCTGCAGTGTATGGCAAATATTCAAACTAGTGTCATGCAGTTCTGTAACATTTCTTAAAGGGAGCAGCAAATGGGTCAAATTCAACTTAATTCCAACAATATTATGGTGTCCTAGGCCCTTGGGTTACAATAAGGACCACTGACACTGAGATTTTAAGAACACTCAAAGTGGATTAAGGGTAGATTAAAAGTAAAGGTCTTGAAGGAATTAAATGGTGGCATCTTTTTAAAAAAGTGCTTCCTATTAACAAGGGACTTTTCAAATAAACATTTAATAGCTTCATATGCATTTTTAAAAATATATTTTTATTGATTTTAGAAAGAGGAGAAGGAACAGGGATAGAGAGATAGAAACATCAACGATGAGAGAGAATCATTGATCGGCTGCCTCCTGCGTGCCCCACACTGGGGATCGAGACTGCAACCCGGGCATGTGCTCTGACAGGGAATCAAATCGTGACCTCCTGGTTCATAGGTCGACACTCACCCACTGAGCCACGCTGGCTGGGCTGCATACGCATTTTAAAGGAGTTTTAAGAGTTCAGAATCATTAAATGAATATATCTATCTCTTAAAGCATCTCTTGACTCAAATATATGAAGAGATGATCCTAGAGCCTGGGCATATATTCAGAGAAATATCAATTTTCTGGGGGTTTTCTCATCACACATTTAATACAAATTTAATGATATATTTTTTCAACTCATTTGCATTTCCTATAAGGGATAGTAAGTAACTCCATTAAATTCTGCATTGAAATTGCACTTAAGCTTTACAAAATTACAGAGGACATTGGGAGAGTTACCATGCCTCTGGGCTTTGAGAGAGAGAGGTGCAGGCTTGCATTTCACAGCAAACCCACTTGGGAACCAATGCTTGGCTATGCCCCTGACCCCAGCCCTAAAAGGAACAGCCTGATAAACTTGTGTGGTACCAGAGGTGAGCTCTTCCTTCACTCCCAACCTCCAGAAACTTAGGTGTCTTTGATCCATTCATATCCAAAAGAGATCCTCATATGCTTGAAGAAAAAAATAAAAGTCTCTGGCATTAGATTAAGGTGTTCTGAGACAATACATTTGTTTATTTGTTTAGAAAAATTGAGTTAAGGTTCAAGTAGAACCAATATTGGATAAGGAAGGAAGGGGTGAGCTTACTCATTTTTATCATTCCACTATTCGAATTATTTGGCAGCACACTTCACAACTACTTAGAGAAAGTAGCTGGCATTACTACCCTTTATACAAAGAGATTTTCTCTAAGAAGCACCCAGACGATTTGCAGGGCAGGTATCAATCTATTCAAATTTGCAAAAGTCCTTTAGAATCTATCAGAAACAGGAACCACCAGAACCAAGCTTGAGTGCAAGCAGCTTCACTGGATAGACTTACAGCTCTGTTTTAGGAGAACTCTGTAGTTGTGAAAACAACATAAAACCTATGTTGGTGTAAACATTGTGTGATATTAATCACAACAGTGCCACATTTTTCATTGGGAGCATAGATATGTTTATTTTCTTCAGATCAGGTGTCTTCAGTCTGGGTTTTGAAAGGAGGGTAATATTAAGTGGATCTCATGAGGAGGGAGGCTCCCCATTTCTGCAGTGACTGAATTTGCCTCTGTCCGCACATCCCAAAGCTTGGACATCTCAGTGATTTGTTGTCGTGAGGACTATCATATAAATCAAATATAGTTTGTCTCTCACCCCACAATCATGGGCATGACATCTGAACCAGTGCAATTGAGAAAGAGGGTTATTGCTTAAATCCCATGTATAGTATCACAT